TGTTATGCAGATACCAATGAATGACTAAGAAAAGATATTTTGCAAACCATTTTTTTTTTTCAACTTGATAACATTGTAATGTACATGTAAGAGATAGGCTACTGCCTGATGAGGTGTACATTATCAGGAACTGCGGTGGATGGTTGCCTCCATGGAGTCCATTTATTACTAAAATCTCTAAGGGCATTGTCCTGCTTATACTATGGTCACTTGCCAAAGGAAAAACAAACAGGACCATTAACAATATTTTCACAAGCCATAACTCTGTTTCTCTGGTAACACCTTGACCTAGAACAATCTTTACCATCCCTTTAGGTTCTGATGCAGTGGAAACATTGTTCTCTACTTAAGTACTTAAACAGGACGAACCTTAGATACGACTCAGCAACTGGAGATATTTCTAGTCCACTCAACTCATAGAAACTCAGCTGTTAGCCAGAAAGCTAATGTTATGCTAGCAATATTAAAAATCAGTAACATTGCATACAGTCAATAAACAGTAATAATTTACTCCTGGAACTCCTAGATATTAAATGGTCATCTGCAATTTCTTTTCTTTTTTTCCCCAAGATTATTTTTTTGGGCCTTTTGCCTTGCCACCGGCACTATCCGCTAAGCTACTGACACCCCCATCTGCAATTTCTGTGGTGGATCCAGTAATATTTGTACATAACAGGGGTGGGTAGTAATGCATTTTAAGTAACACGTGAGTAAATAGTTGTTGTGTTTTTTTGAAGGAACAAGTACTTTTCATGTTCCTTTTCTTAAACTGTACTATACTCTTTACTCGAGTATATTATTGAGCCAGTAACCTATTTTTGCCTTTACTACATTTGCCATTTATACCTTCATTACAACGAGTGTGCTCTAAATGTGAGGATTGAGTATAAAAGGGGGAGAGCGCGCAATGAACACCTCAATTGTACACCAGGCACGCCACCTGGACTTTAAAACAACTTATTCGAGACAAACACTCACATGTTACACATGTTACAATGAACAGTGATAAAAATGATACTGGCTGCACACACACACACACACACACACAGCACAGAGCCTCCTGCCTGTGACCTCATGTCAACCACAGCCAACAAAGAATTTAACCCAAGTCAGTGCGGTAAGCTTGCTAATATTAATCTTAACGTTACCAATTAGCTAACGCTAGACTGTTTGACGGTATCGTTATACTTACTGAGTCAGCAGCAGATGTTTGCAGTGACAGTGAGTGAGCTGCAATGCAGTTATATTTTTACCTGTTAAGACAATTGTTTTTTTGTTTTTTTTTGTATTTATTGTATTTGACTTATTAATACGAACGTCAATAGACATTTAGAGCCCTTCTGCGTTCCATAGTTTGACTCCTTTTTATTTAACATAACGTCTTATGTGTCAAATGCGTGTCAAGACAATATGAATTGCACTCTTAGGTCCCAATCACACAGAAAGCCTTTTGCAGGTTGCAAAACACGAGGCGCACCGCACAACCTTCTTAACTGAATGCCACTTATAAAAAATATATATATATGCTTGTTGCGCTTTTTTAATTGTTGTTAGGCAACCACCCCATCACCTCCTTACCCTAACCTTTCCATGTAATCATTCTACCGTTTATTAGGCTATGTATTCATTTCACAGTAATTAGTAACTAGTTCCTAAAATGGAAAGGCAGAGGGTACTTGCTCTTGCCTCCATGATGGCCATTTTCAGGCATATTTTAGGATGACTCAGGGGCAGTTTGACAACCTGCTGTCTATTGTCGGGCTGTATAGCTCGATGCTACCACTAGTTTCACCCCCTGTTATTTACCAACTGTAGTTCAAATAAACACAAAAAGTTTGTGCTCTATAGAAAGGATCAACACTCAGTGAAAAACCTAAGCCCTATGATAAGCTAATATGGCAAGGCTTAACTATACAAACCAATGAGCAGTGATAACTAGCATGTCTTTGGGGTCATCGGGTGGGAACCTCCTTTCACCAGTGTTTCGTCTAGTTGGTCCCACGACACCTCCAGGAGGCTAGACAGTGATCTCTAGCGTCCCAGAGACACTCCCCTAATGCCAGGTCTCACTGCTCCCCTC